ATCTCATTTATATGTGGAATCTAGAAGAACCAATCTTAGAAACAGAGATCATATAGGTGGTTGCCACAGAAGGGAGTTGGGGGTATGGAGGATTGGCAAAATGTGGTCAAAAGGTACAAACTTCCAGTTATAAGATAGATAAATCCTGGGGATGTGATGTAAAATATGATTACTGTAGTTAACCATAATGTATGTATATTCGTAAGTTGCTAATTGAGTAAATCTTAAAAGTTCTTGTCACAAAGAAAGCAATTGTAACTATGGGAGGTGATGAATGTTAACCAATCTTCCTACCTGTATAAAGGTAGAAAGTTCTACCTTTCCACTATATATTCTGGAAATCATTTCACAATATACACATATATCAAATCATTATGTTGTACATTTCAAACTTATACAATGTTATACATCAATTATACCTCAATAAGACTGGAAAAATGTTTGAAAGTTTAAAGAAATACTATATTAATCACTCTAGGCCTACATAGAGGAATTGCCTTTGAATAAATGGGGCATTTGGGTACACACATTCATATACAGACATATAAACATTTATATACACATAACCAACCAACATTTTTTCGAGGAGTAAGCTAACTTGCTAAGACCTATGGGAATGTCTCTGATCAAGGAGAGTTAAACAAAGAAAGATGCCATGGAAGAGGTCAAACGTTTGGTAAGTCTTCACTGAGGCTCTATTAAGTATATAGCACTATGCTAGGGCTCATGACAGCCAGATAAAATATAATATATGGTCTCAGTTCTCTAGGGCAATAATTTGAAACTTGGTCTGAACCCAGCTATGACAGTCTGGTGGAAGTAAACTCCCTGAAACAGAAGGGTTAAAGGACCTTGATTAGGGATCTTCATATTTCTTAGGAAATTGTTTTGAGCACTGAGAACATTGATAAGGAGTTTAATACTGGTCTTTACTTTGACAAGACTACTTCAGACCTTCCATTGACTGAGGATCCCAAGTGGAGAGACAGTTTTAGTTTGGACTAATTATCTGGCAACAGGGGAGGAGATCAGCAATCACTATGTTTTCTTCTGGGAGACATAACTTGTGAGACAAGACCCTATATAGCAAAACAACTTACTCTTTCCATGGTCTTTTGTTTGGGAAGGTTACATATTGTCTCAGTCCTACTGGATAGTCTCTCCAGGCTCATGGCCCTCCCTTCTCCATCCACCAGGCCAGTCAGACATTGTCTGCTAGGTCCTGTCTTTTATGAATATTACTGAGAAGGCCAACTCAGTATACTCCTCTCCCTTTTCACGCTGACGGTAAGAGAAAGTCTGTTTCTACTTCCTTCTAGATTTACAACATATCAGGCATTTGCAGAAAAGCAAGTAATGGCTTCACAAGTAGAGACTCCAGAATTTCAGAAGTAGTTCAATCCTCAAGTTACAGTGTTTCTCTGAATTCACTTGGAAACCCAATCCTTCTGATTAAAATGATAGCAACTAATCTCAGTCTAAGAAATATTGAGGGAATGACTAATATAAATTTGGATAAGGTTTAAAGACTAATAAAAGCCCTTTTCTCATAAGGTTCCTCATTTAATTCTTTGCCATGAAACAGATATTATTATTATCCCATTTATAGATTCAAAAGGAGTGAAGAATTAACACTTATTATGCAACTTAATAAGTTTCATACATAAAACCAAGTGTTCTAAATACTTTACCTCATTTAATCTCACCACAACTCCAATTAGGTATTATTATTTATGTCTTTTAAACATGAGGATACAAAAATTTATATAAGATTATCTTCTCAGGTGATGACGCTATTAAAAGTAGATTGATACTCTGCCTTGGGCCTGTTATTGCCAAGTCCACTAACCCTCTTTTTTTACACAATGCCAACTAGACAGTTGGAGATCTGCTCCAGGCTAGACTCCCTGGATTTCCAGAATGTACATGGATAATGTTTCTCACGACATTCTTGCCAGCTGGGCCTGGTCTGGCTGGAGAAGTAAGAAGGAAGCTGAGGATATGATGTAGGATGTGACTTGAAGACTCTGAGATGGACGTGAATTCATGAACAGATGCCCCAGCCTGGGGCAGATTTCTGGGGATGATGCTGAAGTGATCTAATTCTGCCTCTGTCCTATGCAACGTGTTTAGTAACAACCTGGAATAGCAAGTTGATGAAATGTTGATCATCATTTCATCATGAAGTGTTGAACACTTCATCATGAGATGAAGTGTTTTAATCTCTTGGAACCATAAAAAACACTATCCATCTATCCAGAATATGGATCCCACTACTTTGCCTTCCTCACTTCTCCGAGTTCATTTCCATTTTTCAGATCTGAGCTTAGACATTACTTCCTCTTGGAAGCCTTTTCAGAATCTCCCAATCACAAACTATGCCAGAGCCCCAGTTGTACAATCTTATAACACAATATTTTTCTTTACAGCACATAATCATAGTTTTAATTTTACATGTGTGCCAGATTCTTTAATTAACAGTGTCTGCCTCTCTCATTAGGATGTAGTTATACATCCCAATTCGATCACCATTGTATGTGGTGCTTGGCACTTAATTAATAAAAAAATAAATGTGAGTGACTTCAGGAAGGATAGTTAAGATGTGGAGTTACAGATTATAGATTTTTTAAAATGTCAATTTCAATTGACTAGAGCAATGGACCAATGTTAAACGAATGATGGAGAATGCTCTGCTTCTCTGAAAAAGAAACAAAAATGACTAGAGTTTTAGCATCCAGGGAGCTACATATCAGTCCAAGTATGAGAAGACCATCAAAATAATCTAACACCAACCCATAGATTAATCTGATTTTGATTAGATTGAAGAAATAGAATGCCAATGAACAGACAGGTGATCCCAGATCTTTTTATAGTTGACCATTCCTATGATCTGTCCCATGTAGTATACGTTTAGGTAAGTTATTTAAAATGAAAGCATTTCCAGAGCTAAAACTGTGAGATGTGTCAAAACCATGTCATGTGAGGAACAGCAAAAGGAAATTTGGAAGAAAACTTGGGGCTGCATGATAAGAGCTCTTTAGTTCCTGGAGTGTTTCATGTAGAAATGGCCCCATGGTGTAGAACAGAATGAATATGTAGAAGTTGCACAGAAGCAAGTTTCAGCCATTAGAAAAAAGAACTTTAAGAGAATCATGTCATCCAACAATGAAGCAAGCAAGTCAGGAAGTAATGAGGTTCCCTAGGCATCGAAGATGACCTGATGTTCAGATACGGTATTGGAGATTCAAGTATTCAATGGGCGACTGAACTAGGCCACTTCTGAGATCATTTCCAGTACTAAAAATTCATGACCTATATGTAATTCTATTATAAATATTTTATTATAGATCCTGGAGAGCACCATTAGGATGATATGAGTGTGATGGACTATAATAAAATTCTCAGAGATCATCGTTATCATACAGATTTCAAAGCCCTCCATCATAAGATAGGTGGTAGAATAGCCTCAGATGCCTGTTGTAGACTTCTATATGCTATGTCCATGGACGACAGGATTTTTTCCACAGTGCAACCCAAATGTTGAATGGCAAGATGTTTTCTATACAGGATGTTGAACAAGTGATTTGATTATGAAATAATATTAAAAGTGAAAACAGAAGAAAAGTGTAAATGACAGGTTTTCACAGTATAATTATTCACACAATATAATTTATTAAATGTCTATAATTTGTACTACATTAGGTTTGGTGATGTAGGGAGATAAAAACATAAATAAGGGAGGATGGCTTCCCTAGAACTTACAAATAATAGTGATGGTTATCTGTTATTAGGCTGCTATAACTATGGACTAGGCATTGTGGTAGATGTTTTACATTATGATCTCATTTAATTCTCACAAGAGCCCTTAGAACTAAGCATAATTATCATCCCCATTTTTCAAATAAAGAAATTGGGACTCAGGGAAATTATGCATTGTTTAACACCATGGAGCCAGAAAATGGGTTTATTCAAATCACATCATTTAATTTCAAAATTGATTTCACACTGGTACACTGCCCCTCTTCTGCATGTTATAATACAATGTCAATTATGCTCAGTGATATTAGAAATAATTCAAAGCGTTATTGAAGTTCAGAAGAGGAAAAGAGAATGAACAAAATGGACACAGTTTATTAGCTATTAGAAAAACAAGAGAGAGCCATTCATGCCTTAAGTGCTCTTAATATTTAGGACAGCCTCTAATCACATTTTTCCCTATGCTTGTGACACTGAGGTGGGTTTATGTGAATGATTTTTACTGAAAGTTGTGCTTCTGGATTAAGATTTTTTTCAAAGCTCATAATAAATAATAAATATTAAAATCAGGCAAGTTGAAACTTAGTCACACATTGCCTCTTTCTCACCTTCTTGATTATGAGCTGGTCTTGGAAAAGAAGTGGAATGGATGCCTTTGAGAGTTAAGTCTGTCCATTAGAAAATTTTCAAGGAAGCTAGATGACTTACCCTGAATTTCACTGTAGCTCCTTAGAAGAGAAGAGAAATAAATGGAGACTGGTTTGGTCTTTCCTATTTGTCCCCAAACTCACAGGAAAGATTCTTAGATCTCCAACAGCTTTTGATCCCATATTTTCCCATAGGGCCACAAGCCTGGAGGAGCCCTGTGATAAAACTCCCTGTTTCCTTCAAGTCCTATACTTCATATGATTGGATATGGATAGAAAAATCAGAAGTTGGGATGGCTTTTTCTGAGGCTTACCCCTGATACTGTCAATCTCAGACCTATGTCAGCTCTTTGCCCAGGAGCATTGTTTTCTTTGTTCATTTTCTATCCTATCACCAGCTTTTCAGTGTCACATCGATATCCCTGAGTCAAGAGGCATTGTGTGTAAATAAATGTATGAATGAAAGAATGAATGAATGAACAGCTTCTTGCTCTCATCTTAATGAACCCTGCTTGCAAGAATTTCTTGACACTCCCCTGTGAATTTACTGGAAGAATTTAATTTCATTCCACTTCTACTGAAAATAGCTTCGAATTCCACAAACTTCCTCTGCCTCTTTTCCTCAAAAAATTCCTATATAATTTAGCTGAACTCTTGGCAGTTAGCAATTAAGTTGTAGATATTTATGGGAAAGACTTGGTAAAAGGGTAGGAAAAAAGAGAATTAGTCCAAATTCTTCTCATTTCTAACTCCAGCTTTGATTAGATTAGATCATGGCTCAGAGTGTGAACTGATATATATGGTCAGTCTGATTCTCCTCTCATTTTTGTAACTCTCAGCAGGGAAAAGCTGTTAGCTCAATGACCTGGGAAAATCGCTCACTGTTGATGGAATTTGTGTTCCTGGCCTATCCCTCCCACTCAGAGTTGCGTGTCTTGTTCTTCCTTGGAGTCAGCCTGATTTATACATTGATCATCAGTGGGAATGTCCTCATTGTGGTGGCCATTCAGACAGAAGCCCGCCTACACACACCCATGTACTATTTCCTGGGCAGCCTCTCAGCGGTAGAAATATGCTACACTGCTGTGGTGGTGCCTCACATCCTGGCCAACATCCTACAGTCAGAGAAAACCATCACTCTCCTGGGCTGTGCCACTCAGATGATTTTCTTCCTCGGACTTGGCAGTGCCGATTGCTTCCTCTTAGCTGCCATGGCCTATGACCGGTATGTTGCTATTTGCCACCCCTTGCAGTACCCTCTCATCATGACTTTAACTCTTTGTGTCCGCTTGGTTGTGGCCTCTGTGGTCATCGGCTTGCTCCTGTCCTTACAACTGGTGGCCTTCATCTTCTCTCTGCCATTCTGTCAGGCTCGGAGTATAGAGCACTTCTTTTGTGATGTGCCACCAGTGATGCGTCTGGTTTGTGCCAACAGCCACATCCATGAGCAGTCAGTGCTGGTGGCAGCCACACTAGCCATTACTATGCCTTTCTTCCTCATCGCCACCTCCTACGCCTTCATTGTGGCTGCCGTGCTCAAGATCCGCTCAGCAGCTGGCCGCCACCGGGCCTTCTCCACCTGCTCCTCCCACCTCACTGTGGTCCTGCTGCAGTATGGCTGTTGTGCCTTCATTTACCTGCGTCCCTACTCCATCTGCTACCCCAAGCAAGATCAGTTCATCTCACTGGTGTACACATCGGGAACCCCACTGCTCAATCCACTTATCTATAGCCTGAGGAACAGTGAGATAATGGGGACCCTAGGGAGAGTTCTTACCAGAATAACTAGGAGAGGGTATAATCTGTCAGGCAAAAGTTTGGTTCCAGCTCATTCAAATCCCCAAGCAACCGGGATTTCTCTCAGTTGATGTTAAAACTAATCTGAAAAAATGGTATAAATTATCTGGATATTATTTAGTTATATATGCCAGAGACTTTTAAAATGTTTCAACCATTTTACTCAGTAATTTCTCTTCTAGAAAAGGAGGTAACAAATGAGCATAACATAATAGAAAGTTGCAAGTATAAGACTGCATCTTAGGTATCAGCTGGAAATAGATGGTGCATTCAATAGATTTTAACTGAAAATAATAATGAAGGGATTATATGCAGAAGTATGAGTAAGGGAACAAATAATGGGTGGTAAGGGACTTACACGTTAGCAATAGCAGGAAGCTATTATGACCCCAAGACCTCATAGATATAAGAGGGTATGGTATTATCAGAGACCAGTGAGAGCTAGATTTATTAAGAGAAGACACTTGGTAGCAACTGTGGCTTTAGAAAAAAATAAAAAGCAACTATTGACAGAACTACGGCCATACAAGGAGAGAGCTGGAAGATAAATATCTCAACCTCTGTCTGCTTGTACCCTCCAATCTCTTGCCCTGTCTCCAGTTGGCCAAACCCTACTGGAAGAAAGAAGGCAGGATAGACTGAGTGATTCAGTTCTCAGAAGTTAGCCTTTCGGGACAGGGCAGCGCAGAAAAGAACATTTAGAGTTAGGGACAAACAGAGAATAATCAGAAAAATATTGTTTATTATAGTATTTTATGTAAAAATAAAAATAAATTAACAATCCCATTTCCCCATAATAAAGTATTGGCAAAACATTTATTGTATGGAAGAATATTATGCAGTCTTAAATCTATGTTTCAAATGTTAGTTATTAGTAATAGCTAACATTAAGTGCTTACTGTGCACCATAAATATATATTCTCTTAATCTTCAAAAATCCTATTGAGTAAGGCTATTATCCTATTTCCAATGATGGAACTGAGTCGCAGAGAGTTTAAGTAATTGGTGTGAAGTCAGGCAGCTGATGTGTGATAGAGCTGGAATTTGAAATTTGAACTCAGTGATTTCAGCTTCAGAGGCAGTGTTTATTTGCATTCACCTGATAAAATGATAATGAGTACCTTTTCATAGGCTTACTGGCCATTTGGATATCTTCTTTTGTGAAGTATTACTTTAAGATTTTGCTAATTTTAATTGGGTTATCTTTTTCTGAGTTTATTATGTATTCTGGGTATAATTCCTTTCTCAGATATTTTTATTGTTAACATTTTTTCCTAATTTTGACTTAAACTGATCATTGATATATTTTGACAAGCAGAATTATTTTTTAAATGAAGCCTAATTTACCATAATTTTCCTTTATGTTAATGACTTTTGGGTCCTATTTAAGAAATGCTCCCCTTCCTCAAGTTTGTGAAGATATTTTCCTATGCTTTCTTTTGAAAGCTCTAAGTTTTAGCTAACACATTTATGTCTGTGACATATCACAAATTGATTTTCATGCATTATATAAACTAAGAGTAAATGTTTATATCTTCCATATTATATACAGTTATTTTGCTGCCATTTATTTAAAAGATTTTTGTTTCCTTGTTGAAGTGCTTTTGCACCTTAGTGGAAAATCAATTGAATGTATGTGTGTTTGTGTGTGGGTGTTTAATTCTTGACACTCTATTCTGGTCCACTAATAAATTTTTATATGCTGATGTAGCACCAAGTGTCTCAATTATTGTAGCTTTTTAGTATATCTTGAAATCTAAGAGCATATAAGCCTTCCAAATTTGTTCTTCATTTCTTAGATTATCTTGCTATCTTAAGTATTTTTATTTCTTTCTAAAATTTATAAAAAGAAGTGAGGAGATATTATTTCAGATTACACTGACTTTTTAGAGATCAATTTGAATATAATTGCTATATTAAAATTGAACCTTTATATCCATAAATGGTATATTTTTTACTTATTGGTATCCTTAATTTTTCTTAGTAGTGTTTTATAGTTTTCTGTACAGATATCTTTCATATTTTTTCATGAAATTCATACCTAGGTTGTCATGGTTTTTTAATGCTATTATAAATGTCTTTTCTTATTTTAGTTTTGAGTTGTTTTCTATCAGTATATAGAAATACTACAAATATATCCATTGACCTAGTATCCCACGACTTAGGTAAATTCACTTATTAGTTCTAGTAGTTTGCAAATTCTTTTTGGTTTTCTACGTACATGATTGTGTCATGTGTAAATAAAAATAATTGTGTTTCTTCCTTCTGAAGTTGATTGTTATAGTAGAAGACTCCCGCCAAGAATCTTGCCTTCTGCTATCTATGCCCTTACGTATAACCCCCCACAATGATTCTGAACTTGAAATGTCCAATGTGAAATCAGCAAATATGATGCAAAATAAAGGCTTGATAAGCACTTGCACATTGGGGCTTGCCTTCTTTGATTCATGAGACCACTATGCCATAAAAAAAATGAAAGGGGAGACTATGCTGAGTCAGAGGCCCCACTGCCCTAGGTAAATTCATTTTCCTGGACTCTCAACTTTATACAGACAGGAAGCCAGCTAAGAAAGCTACTCAGCTGCAGACATGAGCCAATTTTTATGTAAAAGGAAGAACTTCTCACAAAACATACTCAAGGAGTTGAGCCAATATTTGCAAACCACAAAGGATTAGGAAACCAGTCCCAGAAAGCATAACTGGACTGCCATAAAAGAACATTCCCTGCTGCCAGTAGAGGCCCCTGGCAATGTGTCCAGTTGAATTTAGAATTGCTATGGACTAGTGACTACTATGTGCCTCCTATTCCTCCTCCTAACTGAATGGCGGTGTCTCCTATGGTCCTAGGTGGGAACTGATGCTAATTATAAGATCCAGGATTTTGAATCTAGATTATAGTTTTTATCACTGTGATTTGTTTCACTATGCAACATATGTTTTGTTGTGATGTCTCATGTGGCTTTGAAAAGAATGTCCATCCTGTATTATATGTTGAGTGCAGTCAGTTAGGTTAACATAGCTAATGGTGTGGTTCTAATCTCCTGTACCCTTATGTATTTTTGTCTACTAGTGTTATCAGTTACTGATAGAAGTGAGTTAAAATCCATAATTATGATTGCAGATTTGTAAATTTCTCCCTTTAGTTCTGATAATTTTTGTTTCTTGTCTTCTGAAGCACTGTTATTAGATGTGTACGTATCTAATGTTGTTATATCTTGTTGATGGATTAACCATTATATCATTAAGCAATGTTTGTTTTTTTATTGCTGGTAATATCTCTGCTCCAGAAATCTGATTTGTCAGATCTTAATTTACCCACATTGTCTTTTTTATGATTAACATTTTCATGATACATATTGTTCTTCCTTTCAATTTCTACCTATATTTTCTCGTATATAAGGTGAGACTCTTGCAAAGAGCATATAGTTCATACTGTTCTTGTTAATCCAGTCTGATTAGAGTTTGTACATACTATCTTCCCATGTGTTTTTTATTCATCCCTTCTCTTCTCTGTTCCTTGGTTTCTCCTTTCAGCCTCTCTTTGAATTTAGAGAACATTTTTTTTGTTCTATCAGCTTTTTTCTTTTACCTTACCAATCATAAAGAGCTTTTCTAATGAGAAGAGATGTACAGGAATGACTACATAAAAATTTAAAACTTCTCTATGGCAAGAAACACACAAACAAAATTTAAAAGGGAAGCGACCAACTGGAAGAAAATATCTGCCAAGTAAAAAATGATTAAATCTTTAACATATAAAGAATTCCTGCAAATCAATATTAAAAGATGCAAAATGTGGAGAGTGACGTCAGCGTCATGGCGGAGTGAGCTTTCCCGTGAACTCTTCCCCCGAAAAGATACAACAAAAGGAACAGTCACAGACCAACAAAGGAATCCCAGACAGTGAAAAGCTAGATCAGAAAGATCCATAATGCTGCACATCTGAGAGTGGAACATGCTGGGCCCCCTGAGGAAGTAGGAAGAGGTAAGGAGAACTCTTCTCCCTCCCCATAAGATCAGCGATCCCCCTCCCCACAGCTCCCAGAGAGGGGGGAGGGGTGGCCCTCTGTGGGGAAACTGTAGCTCTTTTGGCTTTCTCGGCCAGTGGGAAACTCCCACACAGAGGACTCAGAAGAACCACAGGGCTACCATCAACATCAGAGCACCCCAGAGAGCGGATAACGAGGGGCAAACAAGAAGCCCCCCATGCCAGGGACCCAGAGGGCAAAAAAGGAAGCCCCCCCTCCCCGCAAACTGGACCCTGCAGCTCAGCCGACCAGACCAGACCAAGCGATCCATGGCAGACCAGACCAAGTGATCCGACCCACGGATCACAGCTGAAAAACCGTGGCAGAGCACAGAGGGCTTAGATTACACAGCCCTTTACCACCACACAGTGGTGGTAGGTGGAAATTGCAACCAGAGATTTCCAGGATGAGGAAAAACAAAGTGAACACAGGAACCACAATTCAAAGATACATGAAATCACCAGACCAGAAGGAAAATGACAAGCACCCAGAAACCAACCTTGAAGACACGGAAATCCATAATCTAAATGACAGAGATTTCAAAATAGCTATCATAAAAACACTCAACGAAATACGAGACAACACAGACAAACAATTCAATGAGATTAGGAGTTTCTTCACAAAAGAGATTGAAATCATAAAGAAAACCCAATCAGTGCTGATGGAGATGAAGAACACAATGGAGGAGATAAAGCAGAATCTGGAATCTTTAAAAAACAGAGCTGACAATATGGAGGAAAGAATTAGCATTTTAGAGGATAGGAATACAGATATGCTCCAGATGGAAGAGGAGAGAGAACTAAGACTAAAAAGAAGTGAAGAAAGTCTCCAAGAAATATCTGACTCTATTAGGAAATGTAACATAAGAATTATAGGTATTCCTGAGGGAGAAGAGAGGGAAAGAGGAACAGAGAGCCTATTCAAGGAAATAATAGGTGAGAATTTCCCAAATCTGGGGAAGGAGCAGGAAATACCAGTAAGCGAAGCCAACAGGTCACCTAAATATGTCAACAGGCAAAGGAGCTCTCCATGACACCTAGTGG